AGTCCCCACTAAACACGAACTCCCCACTGGCTCTCCCTGTCCCCGGCAGCTACCACTGTACCTTCGGACCTGTGACCCGACTGCTCTGGGGACCTCCTGTGAGTAGCGTCCTACAGCACTTGCCCTTTCGTGACTCACATACTTCACTCAGCGTCACGTCCTCAAGGTTCTCCCTGTGGCAGCCTGGGTCAGGATCTCCTTTCCTTTCAGGGCTGGATCCTACTCCGCTCTGCGCACACAGCATTTTTCTCGCAGCCCATCCATCCGTCAGCGTGCACCCAGGCTGTTTCCACGTTTCAGCCGTGGAGTGACGCTGCTGTGTACACGCATGCACACACACGCCTCCGAGACCCTGCTTTCAGTTCTTCTGCGTAAACACCCAGAAGCGCAGTTGCCGGAGCAAGTGGCAACTCTGGGTTTAGTTTTCTGCGGAACCGCCATGCTGTTTTGCGCGGTGGCTGCACCATTTTACGTCCACGCCAGCGGCACACAAGGATTCCAGTTTCTCCACATCCTTGCCCACACTCGTCATGTGCTGTTTCTTTGACCGCAGCCATCCGAGCGGGTGTGAGGCCGTATCCGACTGTGGTTGTGACTTGCGTTTCCCCAGTGGTGCGTGATGTCGAGCATCTTCTCATGCTTTTTCGCCATCTCTATGTCTTCTTTGAAGAAATGTCTATTTAAGTCCCTGGGCCATTTTAAATCAGGTTGTTTTTGTTGTTGTTGAGTTGTAGGACTTCTTTATATATTCTAGACATTAACTCCTTATCAGATAAAGGATCTGCAGATATTTTCTCTCCTCCCACAGGATGCTTTTTCACTCTGCTGATAGCATCTTTTGATGCACAAAGCGTTTTAATTCTCATGAAGACACGGTCTGTTTTTTCTTCTGTTGCCTGTACTTTTGGTGTCGTACCCAAGAAATCACTGCCAAATCCAGTGTTGTGAAGCTTTCTTCCTCTGTCTTCTTCTAGGAGTTTTGTAGTCTTGGTATCTAGGTCTTTGATCCGTCCTGAGTTGATCTGTGTACGTGGTGTTAGATAAGGGTCCAGCTTCACTCTTCTGCATGTGGACATTCAGTTTTCCCAGCACATTTGTTGGAGAGTGCCTTGTCCTTTAACACTTTTCACCACTTACTGTACCTACTGTGGCATGGTAAAGTTTGGTGAAATCGAACTGGATTTGGGATGAAACGATTGTGAGGCTGTAGGCGACTTTCGGGAAGCAGACGGTGGATGGAGGCTCGGTTCCGTCTGGCAGGCGCGGTGAGGGCGGGGCCTGACACACCGCACCCTGGGGCTCGCTGCTGGTCTCACAGAGGCTGAGACTAAGGACAGATTTAGAAGATCAGTGAGACTGTGAGTAAAAAGACCATTTGGAAAATGCAGCGTAATTATCAGCTGTGGAATATATACCATTTGGGGGATGTTGCAGCTTGTAGCCATTATACTGTGAAAGCACTTTGTGAGGGGTTTTGATGCTGCCCATTTGGGTATATTTTAGCTTAATGATATTTATTACATAAATCAGCGGTTGGCAAACCTTTTCTGTAAAGAAGCAGATAGAAAAGTAATATTTTAGGTTTTGCCACACACGATTCCTCCCTCCTCATCCTCTTCCCCCTCCTCTTCCCACTTCCCCTGCTTACCATGCACCTGTGAGCACTGTGAACCTGGGCCACGGTTTGCAGACACTGACCTGAATCACTGGGGGTGACTAGCACACAGTCCGTAGGTCCAGATGCTTCTGTGCTGTCTCAGTTTGCAGACTTTCTCTCTCTCCCACAGTGTGTCCTCTTTCAGTTGCGGGGAATCAGTGGGGAAAGAGCAGTGTCTGGGTGTGTGTTGTCTCAGCGGCCGTCTGCTATGCACGGTTGCGGTCACTGACTGTCTTTGTTTTGAAGCATGCAGCCAGTAAGGACCCCAGAGAAGCTCGAGACCACAAGGAACCAAGAGAGGAGATCAACAAAAGCGTTTCTGACTTCGGACGACAGCCGCTCTTAACGCCTTTCCCGTCCCTTCATCAGTCGCTACCTCAGAACCAATGCTACGTGGCCACCACGAAGTCACAGACAGGTAAAGGGAGGCTCAGAGCAGCCATGCTGTGTGGATGTGTGCCCCAAGCCCTCCCCTTGCCAGACGGGAGCTGCGCGGGGCTGTGTCTGGGCTTCTCTGGATGACGGGCTGTTGGCGGCAGCAGGCTCTTCTGTGCTCACCGGTACACCTGAGGAGGCACCGCCGACCTCTGCTCTAAAACCTTGTCTAACACCTACCTGCATTCATCCCTAGCTTGCTTTCAATCTCAGGATGAAGATTGTTTTCTTTACTAAAATCTTAAACTTGATCTATTTGGGTAGAAGACTCTGGATTTGAAAACCCTCCCAGTGCATAAGTCAAAGCTGTTGGAAGCACTGGGAGGTGCTGGAGAGACCCCCGGCCCTGGGTGAGGAGAGCCGTCATCCGCTCTCACCTGGTCTCCAGCTGCTGCTCCGTGGCTCTGCTCCCAGCTCCCCCGGGCTGGCCTCTCCTACGGTCATTTGGGGGATGAACATGTGATTTCCTGCTGGGGGGCAGGGTTGGGGGCTCGTGCGCCTCGCAGCGAGGGTTGCTTCAGGCTCCCAGGCTTTCCCTCTTGAGCCCCCAGAATGGGTGCATTTGGCATCATCCCAGAGCTGGGCGACTCCTGTCATGGAGGAGTCGAGTTTGAATTTGGAAAGGGTCTTTCTGGGAGGCCTCCGCGAATGTTGCATGAGGAGCCACAGACTTGGGTGAGGTCAGCCAACGGCTGTGCCCAGCAACCTGAAAGGCTTCACTTGGGGGACTGTTGCCTGGCCACAGGTGCATGTCTTTTTCTGGACTTTTAGAATATTTTATTTTTTAGAGATGGGATCTCACTCTGTCGCACAGGCTGGAGTGCAGTGGCACCACCACAGCTCACTGCAGCCTCGAACTCCTGGACTCAAGCCATCCTCCTGCCTTGGCCTCCCAATTAGCCGGGACTACAGACATGGAACACCATGCCTGGCTAAATTTTTTTTTTTTTTAATTTTATATAGAGACAGGGTCTTACTGTGTTGCTCAGGCTGGTCTCAAACTCTTAGCCTCAAGTTATCTTCCCACCTCAGCCTCACAAAGTGCTGGGATTGCAAGTGTGAGCCACTGCACCCGGCCTTAAAATGCTTTTTATTTTGAAGTAATTTCAGACTTCTAAAAATGTTGTGAAAATTCTACAAAGAACTTCTGTGTGACCTTCACTCATTTTGCCACCTGGCATAATTATCCACCCCTCCCCCAGTGTATAACTTTTTTACTAAGATGTGAATGTAAGTTGTAAATTGCAGACATTGTGCTCTTTTATTTCTCAATGCTTTAGTGTTATTTCCTAAAAATAACTATAATGTCCCGAAAAATAAAGAAATCCGCTTAGATAACTACACTATAGTTATCAAAGTCAGGAAATTAGCTTTGCTGTGAAACTGTTATCTAAACTTCGTACCTTGTTCAATTTTTACCAATTGCCCTATTAATGTCCATTACAGCAAAAAAACCCAAATTCTTGTCCTGGTCCATGTAATCACCTAGTAGTTGTGTCTTGTGAGTCTCCTTTAATCTGAAACGTTCTCAGCCTTCTTTGTCTTTCTGGACCTTGGCATTTTGAGGGGCCAAGGCCAGGGGTTTTGTAGAATGTGCCAGATGTGGGTTTGCCCAGTGTTTCCCAGGATCGAGGTCAGGTCAGGGAACAGTGCAGGTGACTGTCATGTGTTCTTAGGAGAGGGATTTTGGTGCCTTTTGTCCTGTTGTGGCCGGGTGGAGTCTGCAGGTCTCTCTGTCACGAAGTTCCTGTGTCCCAGGTTCTGGTCAGTGTGTATCTTGAGGGGAGACTCTGAGGCTTTGCAGGTGCTTTTGGTGACATCCTGATGGGGACTTGGTACCCTCTGGTGACACACACCTAGCATGCATCATGGGCTCCGGGTGGTGGTTTTCTAACTCCATCGTTTCCTCTCTATCCATTCTTTCAGGACTGCTGTAAGGAAGTATTGAACTTCCCATCCGTCCACCTAACCATCTGTATTTATTTTTAAGTATTGATCCGTGGACTCTTATTTGACTCTCTGGGCTATAATTCATTCCTGTCGTTATTCATTCTATTTCTGAAAGTGTCCTAGGCTTGGCCAGTTGGGGCCCCTTCAGGCTGTTTCCTGAATCCTTGGACGTGACCCCATCACTCTCCAAAGACTTTCTGGCTTGACTGGTCCAGGCTCGTCATGCCCTGTTCCTTCCCAGTTCTGCAATTGGGTGTTCCCCAGGGAGGCCTGGATCTTTTAATTGGAAGTTAGAGAACAAGATCAGTTATTTCCCACCCTACCCCCCAACTTTTTGGCTCTTTGACTCAATATTTTTTTTTTTAAACAGTTATACCTGGCATTTTGCAAAGCTCTGGAGTTACGCTCACGTAAGGATTGGCAAGGAATGTCAAAAGTTAGTACTTCTGTTATAGTGCTGATATTTTTTTCCTATTTTAGCTTTATTATTTCATCATTTTTTAGTAGGAGCTTTCGAAAACGATGTGCTCGTGCATTTAGCAGCCCAGTTTGCCCTTCCTCACCCCCTCCCCCTCCCTTTCCTGTTCCTGTGCTAGACATGGGTGGTCAGTCCGCATGTTCGTCCAGGGCAGCGTGTGACGTGGCCTCCAGCCTGGAGTACCAGCCACTCCCCAGGGCTTGCCCCACCTCCCAGACAGGGTAAGGAGTTGCAATTTCTGTGGCTGGAAGTGCTTCCTAACACGGGGCGTGCCATGCAGGGCGTCTCGTCTTCTGACAGTCGTTGGTGCACCTCTCTGTGCTGGAAACGCAGGAGTGTGGACGGGGGGTTTCCTGGGGGCGCGGGCAGTGTGAAGTCCGCCTATTGCCACGGCAGGAACGGCGTACGCCTTCTGCCAGTGTCTGTGCAGACCAGCAACAGGTTGGTGATTATCTTGTCAGACCTCACTCTGTCACCTGCCGTTCAGGGTGGGAGCTGGTACCTCAAAGAGTTATCTCAGAAAAGTTGTGATTTCAAGTCATCTCTTTTTATTAATATTTAAAATTACTGCGGTGATGATCACAGGTCTGTTCTTTTTCCTCCTGCCACACTGGTAAATTTACAATGGGCAGTCAAGATGAGCAGGTCTACACCTTAGTCAGGAGGTGTGTTGATGAAACCGCGAAGCCCTGGCAAAGCTCTGTGCCTGCGGCTTGTTTCCCGGGGCAGCTGAAATTCTTAGTTTTAGGTCCAAGGCAGCCGTGATTCTGTAGGACCTGTGTCTCACCCCTGACTCCTCCGTGTCAGGGCTGGGAGACTCCGTGCTGTGCCAGAGGTTGGGAACATGGTGCGTGCACTCAGCGTGGCAGCCCCAGGCCTGGGGTGACTGCACCGGCCCAGGCTCCCAGGACAGCAGGATTTGTCTCTAGATGAATGTGAGTTCTCTTGGCAAAGTGGATTGGCATCTTCGTTAGCAGCTTGTCCTGTATCTTTTCGAAGTGTAGAAGTTTACAATCAAAAAACGGAACACACCAAAACCTATATCAGAGGATTCTGGGAAGGTGGTGTTGCAGGAAGCCTCACATCAGGGCTCTATCTCTGCACTCAGGCCGTGCTGCGCTGGTAGATCTGTCTGATGTCACTGTTTGAGAACTCTGCAGTCTCCAGGAGGTTTGCAGCTCCAGGGAAAGGCCGGGGCAGCGTGCTGCAGTCAGTGCCGGCTCTGAGTGTGGGGGCTGTGCTGCACTGGCAGCCCGGCCTTCTCTGCCCCTCGAGCAGCTTACGCACGGCTTGTGGGAGCCAGCGGTGGGCAGAGAGCACCTTGTTCTCCAGTGGTGAGGGTCTGGGCTCTGAGTGCAGAGGCGCAGGAAAAGAGCCCTGGCCACTGTGGCTGCCCTTCACGCCCATGGCTGTGAGCCCCTCCCCAAGTGACTTCAGGAGAGTCGAAGGGCTGGTGCCTGTGTTATTCCTTCCCACTTCATTTTTCTATTTTTTTCCTTTTGAGAGTCAGACATTCAAGCTACTATACATACACAGGGAAAATTAGAAAGTGGCGGCATGTGCCCAGAGAAAGGTAGGTGCAGGCTCAGGAAAGGCCTGAGAAGACCTTGATTTCAAACCTCAGGCTGACCCCTGGCACAGAGGCAGCCTACAGCTATCAAAAAACCCAAAACAATAAACAACAGCAACAACAAAAACAAACCCCAGGGAAGGGGAAATAATGTGTTTTCCAGA